TCCGTGACCGTGATATCTTGCAGACGCGCCATTGTTGTTTTGGAAGAGAAACACTCCTGCAGGCGCCGCCAAAGTTCTCGGGACCATCCGCCAAAGTTCTCGCGAGTTCTCGAATAGGCTCCCCATTGCACTTTGGCGGTAAAATGCTGCGTGTCCCTAGAAATTCCAGACCGATGGTGCAGAAGCATACCAGCAAAACTGGTTCGCGACCAGTCCCAAGTCTAAACTGCCCTTTAGAAGAAAACCGAGCAAAGAAGCTAACATCAGATAAGAACGCAGTAAAGCTCTTGATCTGAGTCCAGACCTTTAAATCTATGGATTGTCGATTGGTTGCAGGAGATTTAGGGGGGAGGGATGGAGCTAAAGGCAAGTTTTCCTCTTGTCCTTAGCTCCATCCACCTCCCCATTAACTTTGCCCAACTTTCTAATCCTTGTGGAAGAAAGGTTAGCCCATAGCATGATACAGCCACCTTCATGTTTCAGAAGAGAATTTGGTTAGTTTATTGGTCTTCACGATGTTCACTAATCTTCTCTAGCAAACCTCTAAGAATCTCACAGAGCCTGCTGTGTTTTAGTTACAGATACGTGGACTTTTACGACTTACATTACTTATTTATTTCAGTGTCCGTGGACTTCATATGGTCTACACATGCATCCATATGGTCGTTAATATGAATTTTACTAGTGAAACATGAGTCACTTTCTTAAGCATTTCTTTTTTTTTTCTTCAAAAAAAGAACTTTTCTTCTGTTTCCTCTTTGTCACCAACTGTGACTTTCTAATTATATGTGCTTATTTCCACCAGATACGCAGCTAATTTAAGCCTTGTGACTTTTATCGCCTGTGCTGTTGCTACGAAACCCGCGGGGACGTCTCTGCAACTGTAACGCAGAAGTGAAGATATTGATTTCGAGATGCGAGCTGAGGCGTTGGCTACATTCTGATTCGGAAAAAAAAAAACAAACACACACCGAGCGAAATAAGAGGGATTAATGTGTTTGAGAGCAAACATGGAACCCTCAGCGGCCTTCTGTCGGTGTTTGAGTCCATCTTTATTACTGAGATCACCTGCGGGGGAAGCTTTTCTCCTCTGGGCTGTTTTCCAACGCGAACTGAAGCGCTGCTCTTTACCCAGCAGACCTTCTGGGAGGAACGCGAGACGACTTCATCGGACCGCTGCCTCATTATGGCTTCCTCTGACAAACACTGCCACCTCCCCGCTTTCCTCCAATATACACCTTCCCTTCTGCCAAACACACACTTTTTCTCACAACTTTCCTGCCGCACTTACTTTCCCTCTGCCACACACGCACACACACACACCTTTTGGGTGTAATAAAACAGCAGATCAGAGTCATTGGCTGCTGACAGGGACTGACACTGAAACCTGCTGTTGTTGGAAGGCTGCCTGGGAGATGTTCATTACTCACAAAGCTTGTCGGTTTGGACAGGAGAGGAACAACGGCCTTATTAAGTGGAGACCTGGAGCAGCCGTAGGGGAAATACATGAACACACACCCACACGTGCACCCATGCGCTCCTCGGAGAGAGTTTTGACGCCGCGGCTTCAGCCGAGTTCTCCGATTGGGTGCGTGAAGTTTTTTGGGGTTGTCAGGGGAAATGTTAAAAGTTTTTTTTCGAGCGGTAGCCGGATTCGCTGAGTTAGGACTCTGACACTGACAGACACGCTGTGACAGCGGTGCTGCGGAGGAATGTGATGGCCTCGTTTTCACAGGAGCCCGCTAATATTGATTGGAGTTTCTGATGTCTGGCTCATTGTGTAACCCTCACACACACACACACACACAGAGTGAACAGATTCAATATTCCCGACATGGCTGAACCTGAAGCCTTGTTTCCATAGTAACTCCGCTCTCCCGCTCTCTAAACATAGCCTCCCAACGCTCTACCTCTGCTCAGATCATCAAGCATAGCTGAAGAGGATGTAGATGCGTGGACATGGATAATGTTCCTGACTTGAGGCGGTGAAATGATCTCCCAGCTGAGTGTATTTACAGTCCACACTGTGGCTTAAGCAGCAGATGAATAAAGGAAGAGAGAAAATAAAAAATAAAAGAATAGAGCTATTTATTTCACGAGCGAGCGATCATCCATCCATCATAAGAAGAATTACAGGAGGCCACATGTTGAGGGGGACTAAAGGGGACACCTGGTTGTGTTTCTGCTGCAGTTCCATCTCAAAGCCCCCAATTCATCTCAGCTGCTTTGCTTTTTCTTACCTTTATTGGCTTTTTTTTTTATTTTACCAACTTTGCAAAAATCTTATAATAGAATCATCTCTTAAACCAACGCGTTCCACTTCAGCCTGGGGCAAAAAAGAAAACAAAAAACAAAAAAGGGGGGCTGCCATAAATCAAACCCAGTGCGCTCATGACGTTTCGGGGACGAGGGGGGGGGGGGTTGCTGGTTTTGGCTGAATTAGCATTTGTTGCAAGTCGTTGCCTTTTTTTTTTTTTTTACGTTTTAGATAAATCTCTTTCAGCGCATGTTCTGATGTAATGAGGACTATGCAGCACGGAGGTGATGTCATCAGGAGATGATGCATCCAGATATGTCAGTAGTATAAAAGTAGGTCCACTTTGGTCACCTTACAGCAACAAACTTCAGAGTTTTTTTATTGGGATTTTGTCTGAAAGACTAACATAAATAAGCACATAATTATGCTGTGTAAGGAGTATAAGAAGTTATTTAAAGGTGTTTTTTTTTTTTTACAGAAGCCTGTAAAGTGTGGCCTGGATTTGTTGTGGAGTAGAAGCTAACTACGGAAGAGGATTAGGGCCACTGGAAAAAAAAAAAAAAGTTAACTGATTTTTAAATTTTATTTCA